TTAAGGATCTGTCACTTGTGAGTGAAATCAACTATAGAAAATTATTATTTAAAATGGACTATCTTTTGGTAAATACGGATTTTTTTATTTTACTAAATTTAAATTACAATTTCGGTATTCTTGTCAGAAATGGTTCATCAGTTTATCAGAAAATGTCTAAAAGTCACTGGACATACGGTTTTGAGCGTCTATTATCCCGCTTTGAATGCACTTCCGGTTGCGCATGCTCAACAATACTGTCCAACACTAGGAAAAAAAGCATGGAACACGTTATGTCCTATATCAATATTTACAAAAACTACTATGTAACGAAGGAACATAATAAAAGTTACATTTACAATAAAAAATATGCAAGTTGATTCATAATTCACTATATTATCATTTTTGAAGAAAGTGATATATATTGTTTCTCAAACAAGATATTATTTTCCCTTTAACAAAATTGTCTACTTTTCGTACAGAAAAAAAAAGGATTAAACACTGTGGTCTATGTTGAGCTCCATACACGAACTTTCAATTTATCAATGATTGAAAAGTTACCCGGTACCAAATTATCTGTTGCCCAAAATCACCATCCAGTATTTTGTATTCTATTTCCACCCCTCTTTTGTTTTAAGTTTTAATAAAATCAAACTAATTAACATTGCCACATGGTATATTTAGCCTACATCAGTACATGTAAATCTTAAGTTCATTGAAAATTTGATCTCATTTTAGTAGTCAATAATAAATCAGTAAGATTTAGAAATTGTTAAATTTTCAATTGATCATACCAATAAACGAATAACGTACGCACCTGTATAACTTCAGCACAAAAATTACCTAGATTGCTGGTAAAATTTCCGACGTTATTTCAATATTTATGAATTAGGCCTGAATGAATCAGTTTGTTTTCACTACGCCACACAAAAAATTGTCGTCTGTAAAGTTCTGGTGCCACTCTACTTCTGTAACTGAAATATTTCGATATAAGATGCGTCCATATTCATTTTATGGTTTGAGCAAACTGCTTGAAATCAAGCATATATCATAAATAAATCAGTGTGTTTTCCCTAATCTACAAATAAAATAAAAAAAAATAATAATAATAAGTGAAAAATAAACTTCATACCACGTGATACGGTTTCGGCCAATCACGAAAAAGACTTCATGCAAGGGTTGAGTTAGAATAATAGCAACTGTAAGCTATGCTGGTATCACATGGCGTAACTTTCCAAAAATTTCCATGGGGCGTATTGAACATGGAATTTGATAATGACAAACTTGGATAAATAAAAAGAAAAACGTTTAGATTTTTTATGTTCAATAATATTACTAACACATGAAATGGTTTGGATAATTTATTTTATAAGTAAGTAGCATACTTCATTTTCACTGCGCATATATTAAATATATTATCTCATCGTAACTTTCTGCATGATCGATCATTATAGATGTAGATGCCAATAAAAATAAAGTATGTGTGCAATTTGACTAATTTTGTAAGTGGCAAATTGCATACCCAGTGAAAATCTACAAGTAAGAGTGAACTCTCTGTCTTACCTTAAAAGTTTTGCAGGTTATTTTAAGGTGACTGTACTCCACCGTCTTTTTCCCGTTCAAAGTAGCCCATTTCACAATAGAGATGTGGTCAAGATTTCTACTGTCTGAACTTGGTACATTTAATGCGTAAAATTTAATAATAATCTTGAATTTCGCTTCTACGAAAAACTATATTCTACATCAAAAATTAAGAAATATCCTAAAAATATTTTAATTATAAAATGCTTCTCTAATTCATGCTTAGGCGCTTATTCTAACCCTAATATAACTAGAAGTTAAATGGTGTGAATCAGAAAAGTGTGGCAATTTATAAAGCAGCAATATATTTATTATCCGCATGGTAACTGGGTGTTTTATTACTATATGTTGGGGTTATTATGGGAAGCAAGCCAAAATGCTGGACATATTATTTATAATCTTTGACTTGAAGAGTTTTGTTGTGATGTGAGTTTTGTTCAAACTCACCTGTTTATAATAGGTACTGCAATAACGATATAGTGATTATTTCAATATATTTAACGGCTACAATGAAAGCCAGCTCTTATAATCAAGTCCCGTAAATCCTCATAATGGAAACGTTATGTAGATTATGTATGTTTTATTTAGACAGCTGGTTTAAATTACATAAAGACTTCACTTATTATGCCAATACCTTTCACAAAGTAATCAAGTTTACCCTCGATTACTTCCCTCCCCAAAGTAATTTTCTTGATGTCACTGTCTGTTTAAATGTTGAACATTTACACACTGATTTATACAGAAAAGTTATTGACAGGCTAAAATATCGTTCTTACAAAAGCTGTCACCCCACCCACATTACCTACAGTCAACTTCTCCCAATAAAGAAAATCTATTCCGAGGAAAAAAATTATAGCAAATGCACCAAGGACCTAAAACAAACTATGTAACAAACAGGATATGAATATACCAAAATATATATAAAGATTGAAAACGCTAACTACACTCAACCGGAAACCTTCTTTAAACAGTTTAACAGCAAACTTTCAAACAGAATTTCTCTTGTTATTATTTATTACTTTAAACTCAGAAACGTTTCGTATGTCCTGAAAGAGGCATTTTCATCTACTGAATGATCGTCTTAGACAAATATTTCCTGAAGTTCTCGTCGTCTCCTTCTAGAAGAACAGAAGACTTAAAGATATCTTGTCCAAGGAAAAATGATTACATCACATAAAAGAAAGGTATGATTAATGCTAATAACACTGCATTTCATCAAGGTGACATGATATGGCTGAACAATTCTCGTCACAAAAAAGGAAAAAACTACAAAGTTCATTAAACATTGGAAAAGATCCTACATTGTAGTTATAGAAACAATAACAGGGTTTATAGAATCTATAATACAGGTGATCCAAGTGAAGGATCATCCATCATGATCGTTTTTGGAAGTACTTTAGTAAGAAGTGGCCAACTAGTTAATTTCAGAGAATAATTTGCCTGCAGCTGGTGATGATGAGGAAAGGGAGTCATCCCATCTGCATACCATAACCCTTGGAGAAGAAAACCATTAAAAAAACTGAACAATGGATAGTTTTATTACATTCATGATGTCAGAAAAACACCTATGTTCAAGAAGTATTGATAGAAATTAATAAAAACCCTATAACCCGTGTGCTTTCGAAAGCTCAGTCTTATTACATATTAGGATTACTCAAGAGACTTCACAATCCAGGAATGAAACAGTGTTGTAAGCTACATTTTCAATGTTTTAATTTAGATGTTTGATAGAAGGAACTCTTATTTCAATGACGTCAAGATCTAGACAGCTTATGAAAGTTAAGACTCAAGAGTCGATAAGCTTCCTGGACTATGTAGAAACAAGAGTGCGATATAAATGTGAGTAATCAATGAAGATGACTCCATCTTACTCAGTGATTCAGTTCATTGTCAGAAAATATATTGTTAGGACAGCGGAAGTCACGCGACGCTGGGAGCATGCGCTGGAATTTCTAGAAGGATCGTGACTTATCGGGCAACCTCACGAATGTCCCAGCGTTTGCTAGACGCCCTCTTTTTTAGTATATAAGCCAGAGCTAGATTGAAGAGAAATAATTGAGTCAAGCGAACAGTAGACACTTATAAGTAAAGTGTGTGAATCGCTGTGAATTATAGCGTGTGTTTATAAAAGTAGTTAAGTTAAAGTGACTGTGGAAA